TGGCCTTCCTTGAGAATCATATCTGTCCTGAGACCCAAGGGCACTCGCGGCAACGTGGTCAAGTGGTTAACGTGTCAAGCTCACATTCTCAATGTCAGGGTTCAACTCCGGCTGTGGGTGATGATAAGACTTATGCGATTTCAAAACTGTAGTTTATCCTAGATGAGAACAACTTTTGGGAATGCAAGGCTATGTGAAATTCAATGAAAACGTCAGCTCTACTCATATCCTTGGGGGAAAATTATACTACTGGTCCTTCATCATCTTAAACGAATTAGGGTTAATACATCTCACATTACTGATTCACCAGTAGTCTCGAAACCCATTTACATACGAAAAATACAATACTTTAGTTTATAAATCACCTTAATCAACCTAGCGTGACTACGTTACTACATTATTGCTGATAGCCTTGAGGCCTACCTGTATCAAAAATAAGTAAAGTACTCAATTATACTTCCAAGCACATGTTTACTTAATCGAAATTCCTACTATAAATGTAGGCTAAGAGAGGCCTTGTTTACCTTAATTGTTGCATGTGCATCCACGACTGTAGAGTGCAGTAGTAACACCACCCAGATACTCACGACTTGCTAGCGAATCCCATTTGCAAGTGCTGATGAGACCTAGGCGAGGTCGAAAATGCAGTCCGCCTTGGATGAGATAGCTTTGTAGAAGGCAAGTCTGAGTAAAATTAATTGGCATCTAGTGTCTACTTATCTTATTTTGGGAAGACTTAACTAACATTTCTTAAAGCACCTTAGCTACGCAAGATAACTAAGTTGTTATTAAATATTTTATTGAAATTGCAGGCTCACCTTTTTTGAGTGAATTAATTCTCCAGCAACCGAAATCTCGAACTCATTTTCTCCATCACGAATAGGCTTTCCAAACTAATTAAGAAAAATAATTTTCAACTGTACGACAAAGCAAATAATGTAAAATTTATCTTAATGCAATGAGTACGAGCTGAGTATGGTAATTCACAAGCAAAAAGTGTAAATATTTTACAGTAGTCGCTACAGGTAGTTGGACTACATTATGGGAGAATTTTTAACATTATTTAATTAGCAGCCTTACAAATAGTAAAAATTAACAACGTAAAATCTTATTTAAAAGCAATAGAGCAATCTCAAGTTATAAAAAAACATGCATTTAAGGCTTACCACACGAACTTTATCACCGTAGCGATGAAAGATACAGTGCCTAAATCGCCGGAACTGTGGAGTTTTAAATATAGATTACTTTTATTAACAGAAAAAAATTATATGACAATATTAAATGTGTAGTAGAAATTTTGGGGGTTGACTACAAGTGGCTACATTTATAACAGGAAATAAACAATTTTGATAATCGGTTAAATGTAATATAGGAAAATTTACACTCCTCTTTATAGGTTACTTAACTATAAAAAAGCAGACCAACTATAAGAAGTTTTAAAATGTCTAAAATAGCTAATATCAATCTAGACATGATAATCGAATAGCCATAAACAGAAAGTAAGTTTATTCATAGTCGAGGATTCAAATAAAAATCAGCATTAATATTATAATTTAATAGAATTATTATTTTGTAAAGGAGTAAGATAGTCTATTAATTACGGATTATAAAAAATATATTATTCAATTAGGGATAATACGGTAAGGATTAGCTAATGCTCATACTTACGCGATGGGCGTAATTTCAGTTAAAACTAAAAATTTAAAAATATTTAGATTAATTCTCAACAGAGTAACTATAGGATATGTTATAAGAATGAAAATAAAAGTAAATATATATATGAATAAAGTAGCAGGATGGAAATTGTTTGTTAGATAGTAATATGTACAACAAGGAATGCATTATAGTAGAAAAAGGCAGAGAGGACTTACCAAAACTCAACTGCAATGTCAATTGCCATAATGGAGACAATGAGGGAATTGCCAATAAAATGTGATTAATAAGCATTTTATATAATAGCCAAGTTCAAGGTCAAATTGTATCAATATAAACAAATATTAAATATGCTATAATTAATTTTTTTGTTAATTAATTTTTATATAAACAGAAAAATTTTAGCTGTGTATTGAGTGTTTATTCTATGTGCATATTTTATTGTCCTTGCGTACGCAGATGGAGAGTATCTTTCATGAAAGGGTAAGTCTTTTACTATTACCAAATTTCCATAGCAAGATGGATCGTTATGCGCACAACATTGCCTGAACGCCCTGCTTCAAGGTCCATATTTCACCGTGGTTGATCTTGCTGACATCGCCAGGAAATTAGACGACGAAGAATCACAAAGTTTGGGTATCAGTAATCCTGGGAAATCGCAAAATATGGATGAAAGTGGCATGTTTTCGGTTCAGGTTATCAAGAATTTCCTTGATTGATATTTAGGCTAGTACACTTACATGCTATATTTTTCCCCTATTCTTCCAAGTCTGGATGCTTCCTATTTTTAATTTGAGGTCGAGATTTTTGGGTTTTGAGGCAATGAACGATATAGCGCTTTGCTTCTGTTTATTTTTTCTGATTGATAGTTTTTTGCTTCAAATCCTTTATGGAGTCCAATCTTTTTTTACTAACTTTATATCTTTACTGTTTTACTATTTATTTTCATTTGTCCTTATCCTTTTCATCTAATATAAATATCATCATTTATATGGAATACAATAAAAAAGTTGTTTTCCTGCACCAATATGCATTTTTTTCAAACATGTATATTATTCGTTTTCACTGCATCACATTTTA